GAAAGATGGGTGACACGGTGGCCTATTATTTAGTTCGGTAAAGTCCAGAACAATAGGTCCGGTTATGAACTCTTGCTAGGGTGTATTGCATTCTTCGGAAAGAAACATTTCTGCACACAGTGCTTCTGCACACGGCAGGTGCATAAATGACTACCAGAGAATTCAAAGCTTGCGGTAACCCTGAAGCGGACTTGCCCTCCTATCAGAGAAATTAGACTGAAATACTTCTAGCAGCTTAATGACGAGGAAACGACGCCCAAGCTTTGGCGGTATGGGACGTCACTTTGCAGTCACGCAGACTTTACCCCTTGCAAATCTTAGATATTGGCCCTATACTTCAATGTAACTGGGAAGTGTGAGGCTTAATAAGTTTAAGGACGTTCTCGCTAACTGTTTGTGCGCATCCTTACGGCGCACGCAAATTCACACGCCACGTCATGCATCGAGCGCGCGCGAAGTAATAAAATGGACAATTATAGATCAGATGACCATTGCTATAGCTTTGCCTGGATTTATCGATCACGGACGTTCGGTGGCCCTATTTTTCTTTTGATGAATTATTTTCTCTACCGGTTTTCCACGTTCAGCGAAAAAATGAAGAAAATCTTTCGATTAGAAGATAAATCGTTCGTTTAGCTCTTCGTTTATCGGTGCGGCGGTTTCAAATGCCTCTTGAAGGGTCACGGTTGGTGAAAACACTGGCAACATTTGGAATTATTTACGCAACAGACCCACCCCTACAAAATATGACTAAGATCGCTTTCCTTCGTTGACTCACCTTCGATATTTTTAACCATAAACCCCTGTAGACCATGCTGAATTGCGTGCCGCAATTTTTTCACCACGGTAGTTTTCCACACGCTTTATCTCTGAAACGAAGTCGATGACCCCCAATTTTTTTCCATTTCTGACGTAAGTAACTCATTATCTGACTGCAGTAAAAATTTTTAAAACAATTTATTGACTGGAAAATTTTCGCGCTAACGTCCTTAAGCTCTTTCCCCGCATAATTTAAATTATAATGCTCTAACGCTTGGCTTCCCGAGGATAAATAATGCAGAATCCAGATTACTAGGGATCTTTACTGGTGTTATTTTTCTAGCGTTGGGTTGTTTTACTCTGTTCATGGCTAACTGCTGCATAAAGCACCAGACTCGCATATTGATGCTCGTAAAGATGGATAACTTAAGTTTTTATTGGACTTGGCTTTCAACAAAAAAACCTGCAATACATCTAGTCCTTGCGGAGGTTAACACGTCCACCATTTTAACCTTGACAATTCACATATCCCAGGGCAGTTAAGTACCGAAGCAGACTCTACCCATCACATTAGATCTAGGTTTTATACAGTTTAAATAACACAGCTAGCCATGAAACAACATCGTCGTTCTAAACTTGTTGTAATCTTACCAAACAAAACAAATTATACTTGAGGACAGCGCAACACGAGATGTCCTTCGATAAAGCCGGCCAATGTAAAATCCAAAGCCAAAGTCAATACTACAATGGAACCCCGTTAATCCAGTCACCAACAGGCCACAAATATTTAGCCGTATTAAAGGGGTTCTTTGAATAAGAAGGTGACTGACTGAGCCTTTGTTCGGGCCTGAATAAAGTGGCCGTGTTAACAGGTTGGACGTAAGGCGGCGTTCCACTTTATTTCATTTATTTATTTATTTATTTA